CCACCAGTGGAAGTCTCAGGATGGGCTTGTGACCTGGGTATTCACTTAAGTGTGTCTTGGGAGAGCTTCTTCCGAGCAACTGCTAGCAGGCCCCAGCTGTGTAGTTTGGGGGGATGGGAAGGGGACAAGGGAGACATTTGCCACCTGAGTCACTCAGCTTTCTGCTCCGGGCTTTGGTGACTCCATGCACAGACTGACACAGGTGGGGCTCCACCTGCCCTGTCAGCCTGCCGGCCCCTCCCTACCTCTGCCCTTCTCTCCACAAGCTCTGGGAAATGCCTGCGACTAACCAGGAGCCCTTCCCACATAGAGGCAGGCCATCCGTCGCTCCTGAGCAAGCTTGCACCTGTACGTGTGGTCACACCTGCTTGCAGGACACCATACACACACACACACTTCTCCCACTTTGGAGTTCTTGGGAAAAACTGGACCTCCATTCCCATGTACACATAAGAAACTTGAGGCTAGAGCCATCTCTCTTTTTCAGCCCAGGGAGGGTGGGGTCCTGGGGGGAGGAGGAGGCGCAAGGACTGATTTTCATTGTTGTTTTTTGTTTTCCAAGACAGGGTTTCTCTGTGTAGCCTTGGCTGTCCTGGACTCCCTTTGTAGACCAGGCTGGCCTGGAACTCACAGAGAGCTGCCTGTCTCTGCCAAGTGCTGGCATTATAGGGGTGCGCCATCCCCCTTCCCCACCCCATTCCCGGCTAGGACTGATTCTTGAAGCTTAATTTCTGTCGTCTTGAGGTAAGCCTTTAGGAACATTTTGGGGCTAGAGAGCCAGGGTAGAAGGCTGGGGGACAGACAGCAACCCCTGCCCAGGTGCTAAACCAGGACCTAGACCTTATTTCCTCTAAGTCACCACCTGCAGTACCCAGCAAACAGAGTCACAAGGATAGATGAAGCAGAGAGACCACCAGACACACACACCTCCAAGGTCTCAGTGACTTAGGAGGAACTGGAGCAGGCCTCGGAATCTAGGGCCAGGCCCCTGGGGAATGTGAGAGTTGAGATCCTTGAATATTTCATCAGCACTTCAGCTCCAATTGAAGCGGCAGCCAACTTACAGCTCATGGATAATTTATGATCCCAACAGAGAACCTGGAAGTAGCGAGGGGGAGGGGAACGGAGGGAGAGAGGCAGGACCTAGCTGTAGATAAGAGTGGAAGAGAGAATCCAGCTGGATGGGTGCGTATGGGGCGGCGGGGGGGGGGGGGGGGGGGGCAGGAGTTCCAGACACCACGAGAGTTTTCTATGTTTGAGGATACCAATGTATTAAAAATAAATAAACAACACAGTGATGGAAATAGCTGCTAAAGGTTAAAGTCATAGGACATGCGTTTTCTGACTTCCAGGCCTGACCCTACCTCTATGACAGACTCATTCCAAGATAACAAAATAATGTAATCATTGTGTGTGACTGTGTGACTGTGAGGCCCTCAAATACCCCCCCCCCCCCATCTGTACTTGGGCAGGCCAAGGAGAAAAGCTAGACTTCCCACTTGGACTTGTTGATCCCATCCCTTATTAGCCTCCTCCTCCAGGAAGACCCTAGGAAATTTAGCCAAGTGGTTAAGGGCATTAGGAGGAAATCAGGTACGGTCACCTCTGACTTCATCCAAGCCACATAGAATCACACCCTCTCCCTCCTCCTCCTATTTATTTATTTTCTTCCCAGATGGAGTTTCACAAAGCCCGAGCTGGCCTCAAAGTTGCACACAGTTGAGGATGATCTTGAAGTTTTGATCCTTCTGTTTCCACCCCTGGAGTGCCAGGATTACAGTTCTGTATCATCACACCTGGCTGTTGTAACTCTCTGAGCTCCACCCCCAGCCTGATACGTCAAATAGAAAATGTCAAGTTCCCTTGGCCTTTGCTTTCCTCATGACCTTAGAGAGCTCTTCCAGGCAGTCAAAGGGTCAAGCATATGCATGTGGGGGGAGGGCAAACTATTAAGCACACCTTCGCCTTGCCTCAGTTTCTCCACCTGAGTCATGGGCAGAACAGGTGCTTCTATACCAAGGGCTGTTTCAGGGGACAAAAGAGATGCTATCCAAGAGCACTGGCGCCGGCTGAGACCCAGGGAGCTGATGATTATGAGGTGATGGGCCCTTACGCTGGGCCTGGAATTTTTGTTGCAGCCATAGCTCCCGGCATACTCCCAGTGAATCCCCAGTCATCTTGGAACCAGAGCTAGTCCAGATCAGAGTTGGTCCCAGCCCTGGAGTCCAACCCAGATTCTTGGGGCCTCAGTTTCCCTGTCCATGAAATCAGGGCCATCTTCCAGGGCTGGGAGAGACACTGTAAAAGAAGGCCTAAAGGAAAACCAGAGTTGGGAGACAAGGATGGTAGCACTGGGTACTGTGGTTGCCAGGTCTTTGTTAGGTAACGTTATTAGCTCCAGAGTGCCAGATTGGCACGACCATGTGACATGGTGAAGGGACCCTTCTTTCTTCCCAGAGGAGACCTTATTCTCAGAGACAGGCCACATCGGATGAGACGTTAAGGATTCTTCCTTTTTTTTTTTTTTTAATCTTTAAATTTAAAAGTTGTATTATGTGTATGGGTGTTTTGTCTGCAAGTACATCTGTGTGCTTCATGTATGCAGTGTGTGCAAAGGACAAAAAGGGGCATCAGACCCCCTGGAACTGGAGTTACAGACAGTTGTACAGAGCTGCCACGTGAGTGCTGTGAATCAAACCCAGGTCCTTGGGAAGAGCAGCCAGTAATCTTAACTGTTGAACCATCTCTCCAGCCTCTTTAGGGGTTCTTTTCAAGGCTGATCCCATCATAGTAGGTTGTCAGTACTAACTCTATTGCCATAAAAGTTGTAAGCAGAAAAAAAGTTGCAAGCAGTACTTCAATGCTACATTTGACTGGCAATATATATATATATATATATATATATATATATATATATATATATATTTTTTTTTTTTTTTTTTTTTTCAAGCTGAGAAGAGAATTTGGGCGAGCTAATGGGACTCTCTTTCTTCCACTGACCATCATTCTCAGAAGTCAGGAAGCTGCTGTCCTAAGTGACCCCAACAACTCTGTCCCAATATCCCATGGGCCTGATACCAGGACTCTGCTCTTTCTCCTTCCCTTTGTCTTTCCTACCTTCTCTCCTCTTTCCCTTCCCCCCCTCCTTTTTCAATCTCCCTGTCAGCTAAACATAGTAGGAGTTCAACACCTGCACTGTTCTCCTTGGCCCCAGCTGACGGCCCAAAGCCCAGGGCTTCTCCCTTCCATCTGACCCTTCCTTCAAATCATAACATGTCACTTTCCCTTTTTCTGAGCATCACTCCAACCCACTTGGAATAGAGGGGTCAGTTTTGAGGTGATAACAGTTATCATGTGCCTGGTACCTGGGAGGCACTCTGCACTGCAGGGATCTGCTTTCATATGGATGGGGTCCAGTTTCTGGATCCAAAACACTTGTACAGCATCTCTTGAGTTTGGTCCGACTGTGTGAGGTCACATCCCATCCCACACCTCCACCCAGCGTATTGTTGAGAATGGAAGAGCTGGCGGGGTGTCATAGGAAGGGTGAGGAGAGGTGAGAGCATCTGGAACTGGGTGGGGCTGAGAGAGAATGGGCTGGAGGGCCCACGCGGAGACTGGCTGGGACTCTGTCTCACCGGTTTGGGGAGCCAGCTGGCTGGGCAATGGGAGAGGCTCACATTAGGGAGGGGTGGGAGGGGCTGCCAGTTCCCTGAGAAAGGGAGGCATACTGAACCGGCTGAGGGCCTGGACAGGATTCCTAGGGGTGGCTGGTTAATGGTCATGTGTACACACACACACACACACACACACTGAAACAGTCACAGTCACACATGAATCTGAGACCCTTCAGCACACTGAGTCCCCCTTACCTGGCTCTATTCTCTTCTCTGATATATCTAGCAGAACTCAATTGTTTTTAGACAGCGTCTTCCTAGGTAGCCCTGGGTGCCCGGAACTTGGGGCAAGAGACTCCTTCTTCTGCCTCCTGAGTCCTGGCGTACTCACAATTTAGATAGATAAGATCAACTGTTCACCGCCTGCCTCCGGTGGAACAGTTCTGACAGAGTGGGGTGACTGGCCTGTTTTGCTCAGGATCATGTGCCCAGCACCTGCGGCAGCGCCTGGTACATAAAAGGTGCTCAATAAATGTGTGGATGAATGAAGCTCTCCCAAGACACACTTAGGCACGCACATATATGGTCAGATACGTACACACTGAAAGACAACTGCCCCTGCGAGAGCATACACGCTTACACACACACACACACACCCCTTCACACTCTGACCCACAGGCACTTTTCAGACCCACACCCAAGCAGTCCAGATTCCAGAGCCTGGTGCTCACAGCAGCACACATCTGTGGAGACAAGCTCAAGCACATCCTGCTCCATGTACCAGGTGGTGCCAGACCTTGAGGGTAGCCCCTCCCTGGGGTGGGGGGGTAGGCCACTACATGCTGACAGTGCAACAGCCTGGGTGAGGGAGGGTGGGGAGAGCCATCCTGGAACCGTGGGGCCCTCAGAAAACTACTCCGGGCTCTCCTATGATAGAGACGGGAGGTTACAGAGGAGCTACCACTGCCCTATCCTGAACCCAGTTCCACCTCTTGGATCAGAAGCTCAGAAAGACACATGGGACACCAGTCCTCTAGGATACAGAGGGACCTGGGTCCCAGGAAAGGTCATCTGGCACCCGGAAGCAGGGGTGTGACAGTGAGAACTGCGTGCCCTTCCCTGGGTCAACTTCACCCTTTGTCATAGAGACCTCTGTCCCTGGGAATACGGTGAGGCGTAGAGTTAGACAGAGCTGTCACCTTCTTGGCCTTGACCCTGGGTTCCTCTTGAAAGCACCACTTTTGTCCCTAACTCCCTGCAATGGGACGGCAGTAGGGATAGCCTTGCCCCTGCGCCTCCAGACTCCTGTCCCCTAGGGCCAATGCAAGGTGGGACGAGTGAACTCTAATTCTACAGAAATTCCAGGAAAGAAAAACATGTAGTGAATGTCTTTAATGCCCTCTTCGTATCACTCTAAGCCCCAAGCCAAATGCCCTGGGTCTAGACCAATCCAGCCAAACTTTGGTTAGAAATCTGAAACCACCATCTTCCGAAGGCTACGGGGGAACTATGTCTTCATGCCCCCTGGTGGCAGGTCTGAGACTGCACACAGCTAACAGGGATCCTCGGTTTCAATCAGATGTCAGGGCTGTAAGAGGACCTGCCAAGGCCACAGGGTACCCCAGCTGGCATTGCACAGATAAGGGAAGGCTGGCAGAGGGAGGGAAGCAAGGACCTGTACCCACACAGCTCAGCCTTGGAGACTGGCCTCAAACGCACTGAGTCATTCCACCATAAACATTTATTGAGCACCAGAACTCTCGTGCTCAGAGTTCCTCACCACCCGATCTGCAGCCCAGACACAACCATCAGCTGTCACCCGGCAGGCCTTGGTCCTGGGAGACTCAAGCTGGAAGACAGAACGCCCACCTTGAGGAGCAGAAAGGGGGAAGAGGGACCCCAACAGCTCACTTGCCAACCAGCAATATGGCCACCATTCTGCGGTTCAAGGACACAGAAAGGTGGGGTGGGGTCTGGGTGGGAGCTAGGTTAGCTGTGTCCCTTCTGAGGTTTTTTGTTTTACTGTTTAGACAGGGTCTCGCTATGTAGCCTTGACCGGCCTGGAACTCACTACATGGGCAAGGCTAGCCTGGAACTCACGGAGATCCACCTGCCTCTGCATCCCAAGTGCTGCAATTAAAAGCCTGTGCACCACACTCAGCTGTTTTTGTTTTGAAACGAGATCTCACTATGTAGCCTGGCCTGGCCTGGATCTCACTCTGTAGCCCAGGCTGGCCCCAAACTCTGAGATCCTCCTGTTTCTGCCTCCCTGGGAATGCTGATATTAAAGGCGTGCGCCACCACACCCGGCCACTTTAAATTTTAATAAATAGTTCTTGCTGCCAGCCAGGCGTCCTGAGCTTGAAGGGCATGCCGTGTCACCATTCTTATGCCAGTTCAGGCTCTGGTTCTGAAAAGGAAGGAGAGAGCAAGAGTTAGTCCTGCCCAAGCCAACAGGTGTCTGAGCACTGCCCCAGTAGGAGGTAGATCACTAACAAGCTGCCACACCCTGGAGCAGGGTGGCAGCACCCACCTGTACTCCCCTAGCACCACAGGCCAGGGAGAGAACCCCTGTCCCAACAAGCTGTGTCCCCAACCCTTTATCACAATCCATTACTGACCGGCCTCAGCCTCATCACCCTTGGCATCTGGCTCCTGCCACCAGTCGGCATACAGGCCCTCCTCATAGTCACCCTCGCCTTCAAACTCGGCGTCAGATGGGGGTTCTTCAGGCTCTGGGGATGATTCCGTCTCCTCCAGTTCCATCTAGGGCAGCCCAGGGTTGGGGGCAGAAGCTGAGTCACAGCAGGCCCACATCCAGATGGGCTCCCCTTCAGATCGGGACACCTCCCACCCTGTCTTTCAGCCCCCACCGCCCGCTTCGGAGGGTTTTCTGGTGTGGTCCTGGCAGGAGGTGAGCAGGCAGGCCCCGAGATCCCCCTCCCCACTGTCAGCGTCTAACCTGAGGGCATGTCAGGGTTTGTCCTGCTGGGTGCCACTCTGAAACTGCTTCCTCGAGGGAGCTCACACCTGGGGCTCCACCAGCAGAGGCGGGATGCTAGCGTAAGCACTGCTGCTTATGCCTCAGCCCCACCTTCGGGCCCACACCCGGTGAGAACACTGCTAGTCTGTGCATTTTGTCTTCTGGCTCTCGCTTCCCTGCCAGGAAGGCCTTTGTAGTCCTGACCTGGATGGGCCTGCGGATTCCACCAAAGCCACATGCCCACTCCAGGCTGAGGCCTTCAAGCATCACCCTGGCTGGTGCCCATGCTGGCCTCTGGAGCTGTGATTCCCTCATGAGAAGCTCTGAGAGACAGTTCCTCTTGGCTATTTACTGCAACCCAAGCTTGACGTCTGGCAAACGGCAGGCCAGAAGTGACTGTCATCAGAAACTGCTGCATGGTCTGAGCATCTGCTGGGCGCCTGTTGCATATTTGGTGCTTTAAATAATCTCGTTTAATTGTCACCACAATAAAAGTCAAAGAGCACGAAGAAGCAGGATTTTGCTAAGTTACTTAAGATGAACACACTAAGGCTAACCGGCTGGCAAGTGACAGGGCTGGGATGAACAGCACCAAAGCCTACCAATGTGTGACAATGCTTCCTGCTTCCAAGTTCACGGAATGTGGGGGACAGTGGATATACTGAGGGGATGAATGAACAGGCTACACAGCAATCCCTCAAGAAACCCAAGCTGTGCACTGGCTGGAGAGGTGGCTCAGTAATTAAGAGCCCTGGCTGCCCTTCCAGAAGACCTGAGTTCAATTCCCAGCACCCACATGGCAGCTCACAACTGCAACTCCAGTTCCAGGGGACCTGACACCCTCACACAGACGTATGTACAGGCAAAACACCAATGCACATAAAATAAAAATAAATAATTTTTTAAAATCCAGGCTTGCCAAACCCTCCCTCTGAACTGGCTCTTCCTGGTATCATTCATTCAGCCATTTGTCCACTGGTTCAAACTCAGTTCCTGAGCATGAGCATAACACCAGGCGCTGTAGCTGGGGATAATTTAGTCTCCTGTCCTGGGATGCAGTTGTCAAGGAGGCCAGCTGGCCACGACAAGATGGAGGAGGACTACATGTAACTCTGGGTCTTAGGCCAAGTGGCCAGACAGGCAGGGAGGCCAGTGTAAGCCCAGGGGGAAGCCAGGACATCCAGCAAGGGCTCCCTAACGGAGCTATCACTCGAGCTGGGCCAGGGAGAGAAAGGGCCCATGGCAACACTAAGGTGGTGGGAAAAGGGAGGTACAGATGGGGATCGGGAAACCCCTGCTTTACGACAGCTGGAGCTGTCATACACGGTGGCCTCAGGAAAGAGCCTGTCCCCTTCACAGCCCAGCACTGTCACCGGGAGCCACTCACCTCATCATCTGACTGAAGGTACATGTGTGTGAAGTCTAGCAACTCCCGAAGCTCAGAGGTCTGGTTGTGGTAGAGCATGGCTTCCTAGGAGGAGGGAAGGACAGGGTGAGGCGGACCCGTCTGCCGGATAGCAGGCGATAGGGCTCAGGTGGAGGGAAATGGAATCAGCTCACAGAATAAGCCTGGCTAACCTGGAACACTGGACTAAGAAGGATTCTGAGGAGTCCAGAAAGAACAGGGTGCTTCAATCCATTAGTAATGTCTGCCACAGGCATGGAAATTAGGGGTGGCACCATGGGGCCCATATTTGCCTGCCTTGCCCTAAACTCCCAAGGGGTTTTCTCACTGGTTCATGCTAACAGGCTCCTGGCAGGGGGGAAGCTCAAAGGACAGCACTGAGGTAGAAGCAGGCACATGTGAGCACCTATTTGCATCATCCCAGACACTAGGCAGAAGCCTAGACGCTAGCCACAGCCCCTAGTCCTTTTTCCCCTTCCTCTCCAGCCTTCCAAGGAAGCCAGGAGGTCTTTTTTTTCCCCCCCCAAACCACAAAACTGCACATGAGGCCAGCGCCTCACTAATGGCAGTGCCCACCTCCCGGGGCTGGAAGTCCTCCTCTTCAAGGCCCCAGCGAGCTTGGTGGAAGCGGTAATACACCAGGTTCTGCTGCATGACGCTGTCCTTGGGGTCAAAGAGCATGTAGCTAGCAGCGCTGCGGGCGGCCTGCCTCACGTCGTTCACTGCAGGCAGGAGAGAGTAAGGGGCGACCCTGATGTTTCCCTTGAAGGGAAATCCACCCACCCCAGCCCTACCTTCCAACCAAAGCCCACTGCCTCTGCCCCCACCCCAGACACCTCCCAGAATATCTGCTGGCTCCTCACCCCGCCCAAGACAACACAACGCAGCAGGCCCTGGGTGTTGCCCTGCTACCAGGCATCGTGAGTCACTGGTTCGCCCTCAGTCGCTGCCATTGCGTTTTATAGACAAAGGATTGGAGGCACTCGGGATTAAATAAACTGCTTGTGTTGCTGAAGAGGACAGCGAGTGAGGGGGAGTTACAGGTCCTTGGTCTCTCCGCCACGGCCCTCAGAAGAGTAGTCTCCTGGTCCCTGCCACTGCCACTGCCACTCAAAGCTCCAGCCCCTGAAGTGTGACATCCCTGAGTTGTAGGAACGGTCCAGGGCCTGTCCCGCCCCACCCCCGGCGGATGTCGGGACCGCTCTGTGACTCCCTAGTCCTGGGGCGAATCGTCTCTTGCCCTTTAGAAACCCCAGTTTAATCTTTAGAACGGATCCAGGAACTCCAGTGGCACGGTGCCGGTGAGAGAAATGAGGGCTACATACACTGTCCGGTGCTGAGCGGGGCTGCTGACCTAGTCAGCCTCTAATTCCTCCTTGAGGCCTCTTACCGGCCCCATCTCCACCACCCTCAGCCTTTCATCCTCTGCTCCAGAGTCTGCTACAGCATCCCCCTGGAGTAGCTAAAGATACCATCTGAGTTTCGGGAACCCCCCAGGGACTGCCCCTTTCCCACACTCCCTTACCCCACCCATCCAGGAAGCTCACGTTTGTAGTAGGCAAACTGCAGGTAGTGATACATGGTGGCCACAAACTTGTCCACAAAGTAGCCACCCACGTTGGGGGTGAGGTTGGCCTCGCAGTCCACTTTGCACTGCAGCGACTCTGCAAAGAGATCTGGGAAGGACGCCGCAATGAGGAAGCCAGCTGTGCTGAACCTGATCCCCTGTGCGGACCAAGATCTGCTTCGGGGCCTGCTTCCCTATCCAAGAGGGACATCAAGATTTCAGGGGGTAACATGTATGAAATGCCCGGCACGCAGTACAGAATGTGGGCTGAGAACACGTGCTCCCTGCCCCCACAGCTGAACCCGTTTTATACCAGAGGGAGTTCCGGGAGAATATCTGATGAGCTTGAGGTGGGCCTGAGACCATACAGATAGTTTGTTGTTTTTGTTTGCTTTTTCTTCTTTCTTTCTTTCTTTCTTTCTTTCTTTCTTTCTTTCTTTCTTTCTTTCTTTTTTCAGATAGTTCTTTCTTCTTCACCATCACCCTCTTTGAGGAGCCTTGTTGTTACGGACCCAAAGACTACTTGTGTTTCTGCCCAGAACTGCTTTCTGCACACACCTGTCTGGTGTCAATTCCACATCCCTTTTGTTGTTGTCTGAGACAGGGTCTCACTTGGTAGGTCTAGTTATTCAGGAACTCAATATGGAGACCAGACTGGCTTTGAACTCACACACATCAGCCTGCCTCTGCCTCCTAAGTGCCGGGATTGAAGGTGTGCGTCCCCGTGCCTACCGGTTTTTTGTTTTTGTTTTGTTTGTTTTTAGACCAGGTTTCTCTATATAGCCCTAACTGCCCCAGAACCTGCTATGTATACCAGCATTTCTCTCTTCAGACTGGAAACAGAAAAGGCCTAATTCGTGTGCAGCTTCTAAGCACTTTGCTATTGCAGGACATAGCCATGTGTTAAGAGGCCTGGGAGGCCTTGGCTCTGTGGGTAAGGGATACCCACAGTGGTCGGGACAGTAGATACCTGCTATGGCTGGGTAGAAGTCCTTGAAGTCTACCTGCTCGTGGGCCCCCTCACAGCCAGCTAGACAGCGAGCGAAGACCGTCATGTACTCAGCCAGGGCCCGCTCCATGTCTTCCGTGCTGCTGCGGAAGTCCCCGCTGTTGTACAGCTTCACAGCCCGGAGGAACACGGCCTGGAGAGGAGCATCGCAGGGGGAGTCAAGGGAACCTCGATGTCGCAGAAGGTGTGTGTGGGATGGGGGTAGGAAGGCGCCCCAAGGCCAGCCATCCCTCCCACTCTCTCCACACCTCGTAGGGCTGGGCCTCCAGGTCCGTAAGGGAGTCATCTCCGATATCCAGCATCCCCCTGTAGTAGCTGAGATACTTGGCGGTCAGCTCGTGCTTGGGGTTCCTCTGGAGGAAGGTGTAGGCCGCAGCCACCGCCTTCTCCAGTCGGTTCGCCTGGTGGGGGGCGTGGGGAGTGGGTCAGTGGGGCCTCGGACCCACCGCGGGCCTCACGTGTTAGGGAAACTCGACGGCGGCCCGGGCCGCGCCCACCTTGAAGTGCGCGTAGTGCAGGTACTGATAGGGCAGGCGGCTCTGGAAGTCTCGCAGCAGCTGCCGCGGCGGGTAGGGGACCTGGAAGGCGGGCAGCGTCTTCTTGCAGCGCCGCAGGCAGGCGGCGCGCTCCAGGACGTGGCCGAAGAGCCGCAGCTCCCGAGCCCAGTCCTCGCCATCGCCGTCTCCTTCGGGGCCGGGCTCGAGCCGGGGCTGCGAGGCGGCGGCAGGGCCGCTGCAGTTGGCGTGGCAGAAGGCCTCGCTGTCGCGCAGCAGCCGGTGCAGCCGCAGCGCCGCCTCCAGGTAGCGCGCGCTCTCGCGCCAGCTCTCGCCCTCGTACTGCTCCAGCGCGTGGCCGTAGGCCGTGGCCAGGGGCATCAGGTCCTCCGGAGGGAATCCTCGGAAGCTGTACTTCTCGTACTGCGCGCCGGCGCTGCCCAGCAGCAGCCACAGCAGCCCCCACGCCGCGCGAGCCATGCCCGCGCCGCGTCCCCGAGGCTCCCCGAGCAGCCGCAGGACCGACGGGCTCCAGCCCACTCTCCTCTCACTCCCCGGAGCTCCTGCTGGGTCTTAGCGCCGGGGCCCGGGCTAGAGCCGGGAGGCTGGGACTCCCCTCTGTGTCTGACGGTCAGTTGACGGCTACGTGCGCTGGACTGGACCCACGAGCAGCGCTCACCCCACCCCACCCCACCCCTCCCCTCCCAGCGGACCCGGTGGGTGGGGCTACGTTTCAGGCCCAGGAAGCCCCTCCCCACCGGAGAGGGGCATTTCCCCCTCAAATGCCACCTCTCTTCACTTTGCCTACGCTCAGGGCGAATCCCCAGACTCTGGTCTTTTTTTCTTTTTTCCTCCCAGCCCCCCCCCCCCGTTTGCACACTCTGTAGGTAGCCCCGCAAACGCTCGCGCCGGCGTCGAGGGGCAACACGCCTCGAGTGAACCCCGCACACCTGACACTGATACCACCGACTGAGCTCCCGACCGAGCTCGACTCCCGTGTCCTCCTCGCAGCCTGGCTTTGGCAGGACAAAGCAGCCTTTCACCTAGAAAGCATTCTCCGTACTCCTCCACCCAACCCCCAACCCCCTTGGGCAGGAGAAAAGTTGGGGTAGGGGAAGAACTGAAATAATCCCTCGGGATTACGGCCTCACCTGCCACCAGAAGGGGCCTGGATTTGGGATGTTTAGGAAAAAACAGAAAGTCCTCCAGCCGGCTTTAGGACCCAGAGGCTCTGGAAAAAAAAAAAAAAGTTTTTCATTTTGGAAGTCCACTCCGACTTCTCGTTTTACCCGCACCTCCCTCTGGGCCAGGCCCCGAGTCCCAGGCCCAGGATGGAGTTTTGGGGGAAGGGAGACTCAAAGATCTTTATGGTAAATTCCTGGGACTTCCCAGACTGTCAACCTGGCCCCCTCCTCCTGGTCCACCACAAACATCACCCCGCCCGGCCAGCTCACTATCCCCAGCCCCCATTCCACGTGGACCCGCCAGGACGGGGTGGGGAGACAGGACAGGAAGAGGGGGAGTCAGCTCTGAGAGGAGGGGGAAGGAGGTTGGCGGCTGGCGTCCGCCCTCACTGCCGGCGTCCTCGATCTGGACACCATGTTCCTTGCGGGGTCCCCCAGCCACACCCTCCGCCGGTTCCCCGTGCTGCCGTTACTGCTGCTTCTACAGACTTTGGAGAGGGGTCTGGGTCGTGCTAGCCCGGCTGGAGCCCCCTTGGAAGATGTGGTCATCGAGAGATACCACATCCCCAGGGCCTGCCCCCGAGAAGTACAGATGGGGGATTTTGTGCGGTACCACTACAATGGCACTTTCGAGGACGGGAAGAAGTTTGATTCCAGGTAAGGGGGTGAGCACCCTGCAGACTCACCACCGCTTTCCTGAACTTTCAGGGAACGTTGCCCCTTGAAAAGCTTTGCATTCCTGTATTCCTTCCATAATCCCTGGCTCCAAACAGCACCCTGGCGAGGGCTCCTCAAAGGATGTCCCCTGTCTTCAATACCAAATCTTCAACTCCTGAAAGACCCCCACACTCCCAATTGTCCCGGGGTACTTGATGCTTAGGTGACATTTACTTACCAATGCCTTATTTAAACGTATGAGTGGTACCCTGGCATACAGTCTTGGGGGGCAAACAGATTGTGCCTACATGTGAATCCTGGGGTGAGTGGATGGACAGTCAGCCTGGGGCCTCTGGCCATACACTCTGGACCCCTGTCTATTGCTACCTTCAGTTTTCTATGCCTTTGTGGTTGGAGAATAGAGAAATGACATTTTCTTTCGGGTGCAGGACCCTAGAGCAGCCAGGGAGGGCCTTAAGCAGAGTGGGCATTATAATTTGGAGGCAGGCCGTAGCTGGTGCTGTGACCAACTGTCCACGTGTCACAAGGACTGACATGCCCTCCTGGGGACCTCTGTGATGCCGTTCCACTCCTCGGAGAACTCAGCTATTCCCTCTTGGCCTTAGCAGCCAACACCAGCCTGCATTGCCAGCCTCTGCTTTGACAGACAGGCTTCCATTTTGACCCAGGCCCTTGGTCAGCCATGCAGACATCCTTTGGTTGGTGGGGACGGATCGGGGCTGTGTGGTGCCTCTTTCCAGGCTAACTTCGGGCGCTCTCACACTTGGAACTCTACACCGCAAAGAAGAGCCGCCTGCCCTTCAATCTCTTCTCTGAGCCCCCACTGCCAATTAGTGGTCAAGGCTCTGGAGGGAGGGTTTTTTTTGGTATACTGGTTGAAAATACCTTCTTCATGGTGTAAGACCCAGGGTTCAGATCAAGGCTGTGACAGACGAGGAGGAGTTTCGTCTCTTTAATCTTCACTTTCCTTGTCTGAAACATGGGACAGGAACAGCACCCATTTCCTAAGGGTGCAAATGAAGACGATGGATGACAGTGGCCTTCAGTGGGGCTCAGGACATAGTGGCCTGGATTCTGGGGAGAACCATAAGCCTGGTGGTGTTTTAACTCATAGAGACTTTGTGCACAGCATTGTGGTTTGTTTGGGGTGGGAGGAGATGGTTTTGAGACAAGGTTTTTCTGTGTAGCCCTGGCTGTCCTGGAACTCCCTTTGTAGACCAGGACCTGGGTTTGGTTCCGAGGACTCTTATGGTGGCTCATAACCATAACTCCAGCTCCAGAGGATCTGACTCCCTCTTCTGACCTCCATAGGCACCAGATGTGGCGCGTACACAGACATAGAGACAAGACACTCACGTATATGTAATTAATGTCCCATTCTTGGGGCTGGGAATGTAGTTAAGTTAGTAGAGTGCTCGCCTAGCATGCATGAGGTCCTGGGTTCGACCCCCCAAGACGTATAAACTGGCTCTGGTAACACACACCTGTAATCCCAGCATCCAGGAGGCAGAGGCAGGAAAAACGTAAGTTCAAGGTCATCCTTATCTGCATAAAGAGCTCTGGGGCAGCCAGGGCTACAGATAACATCTGTCTCAAACAGCGGGGATGGGGGCGATGAGAGAGGTGGCTCAGTGGTCACGGGCACTTGCTGTGCCGTCATGAGGACTGGCACATGAGAACCTGGGTACCCTGTGCATAGCCAGGGTCAGGGGGAGAACCTGCCTCCAAAGGTCAGATCAGCCGTGGAGTGACAGGGGAGGACGAGGACACCCAGTGCTCTTTGGAGGCCTCTGCATGCACACACAGGTGCCCAAACGGGTGTGCACATACTCATAGAGGCACACACATATGAAAATCTCTGTTGTTGTTGGTGGTGGTGGTGGTTTTCCTTGAGGAAAAGGATTCTCTCTTTACTCTGTGAAAACAGATGAGAGCCAGGGTAAATTTAGAACGGGCTTTCTTCTGAGGCAGGCTGCTTTCCAGCTCACCTCTGGCCACTTTCGATGCTCAGTAGCAGACGCCCTGTGAACTCAGGTGGGGTAACGAGTCTGTCGGCTCTCAATTTTTCTCTTAAAAGAAAAAAAACAAACAAATAACCAAACCAAACAAAACTGAGAACAGGTGGGATATAGCTCAGAAGCAGCATGCTTGCCTAGCATATGTGAGGCCCTAGATTTTGTTCCCAATGTCAGAATAAAGAAAAAAGAACACCAAAAACAGTCATACCCACTTCACGGGGGGTGGGGGGGGGGGGGGGGGGAAGGAGTCAGTGAAATAATAAATGTAAAAGTGCCAAGTGCTTATTCTGACATTCAATAAGTGCTCAATAAATATTCATTTGCCCTCCCATCTATGCCATCAGAAGTAGCAATAGGTAGCAGGATAGGCCTATCTGCCCCACCCAACCCTCCTTGCAGGGGAGAAAAAGCTTCTAGCCTCCTCTGGGACTTCCCTCTTTCAGTAGCCTATTGTTATTATTTTATCTTATATTTTTTTGGACAGGGTTTCTCTATGTAGCTCTGTCTGGAACACCCTGTTTAGACCAGGTTGACCACGAGCTCACAGAGATCTGCCTACCTCTGCCTCCAGAGTGCTCAGATTAAAGGTGTGTGCCACCGAAGCCAGCCAGCCTGTCATCCTAAGAGGGGCATAAGGGCTAGTCCGGGAGAGTGAGGAATGTGTATGTCTGCACCATGTCCTGTGTCTACAAGACTGGGGGCAGAGGGCATCGTGTGTCTGTATGCATGTTCACTCATCCCTTTACTCCTCCAGCCATGACCGAAGCTCCCTCGTGGCCATCATTGTGGGCGTCGGGCGCCTCATCACTGGCATGGACCGGGGCCTCATGGGCATGTGTGTCAACGAACGCCGCCGTCTCATTGTGCCTCCCCACCTGGGCTACGGCAGCATCGGTGTGGGTAAGGAGGCCAGGGTACGGAGGGGAGGGGGTGGGAAGTGGGGGCAGGAGGCTCAAAGGTTCTGATTGACTTAGCCGAGGTCACTGCATTGTACTGCATGCAATCTGGTTGGTGGGGAAGGCGGCCACCGGTTCACTCTGGAATGAGAAGAGCCGGAGACAGAGCCTTGCCTCGAGAGTCACAGCTCGGCTGGGAAACAGGGTAGCCGGAGCCAGGAGTACAGCCGGCGGTGTGGGAGGTGTGGAGGTGAGTGGCGAGTGGGCCTCTCGCCCCTCCAGCTGGGCTGGGGCCTGCCGTAAACTTGGCCTCCGCTGCCTCCCCACAGCGGGCCTCATCCCCCCCGATGCCACCCTCTATTTTGACGTGGTCCTCCTGGATATCTGGAACAAGGCGGACACAGTGCAGGTGACCATCCTCCTGCGCCCTCCCCACTGCCCGCGCATGGTGCAGGACAGCGACTTTGTGCGCTACCACTACAATGGCACCCTGCTGAATGGCACTGCCTTTGACAGCAGGTTAGAACTGGCCTGGGCGG